ACTTTGTTTGGGCCAAGGAACTAAGACCCTAAACCCTAAGCCCTAAACGCCCTAAACGTAGGAGAATGGTTTCTTTAGAGGAAGCCGTAGGATGATTTTAAAAGTAGTTGTCAAAAGGTCTTCTTACGGGTAGCCTCAATATTCGGGGCCGCGGGCCCTTAAAATGGGGCCCGAAAAGGGGTCATAAAGTTCACAACCCCCCCCCCCCATTGTCTTCTCGCATAATTTACCTGGTGAAAGGCTTCTATAAGCCCTTGGGAATGAACCAACGAATCTCTTTCTTAATGAGAATCTCTAAAGTCCATTCCTCGTCTAGAGCCTTACCCTTCCCCAAACGAACGTGGAACCCCGTAAAAGGCAAAGTCCAAAAGGACGGTAGTCTATAGTAGGCCCTTTCTTTGGTTCCAGAGTTGTTAGGAGGCCAACAAATTTAAGTGTCTAGCCAAAATTCAACCTGGGACGTGGTGCCACTGGTAGCTTCTCACACGTTCTGCAAGAAAGTGCGAGACTCGCTAAACCAGGGTCGCTCTGCAAAGCTCAACGACTAAGTACTTTGCGCAGGTGGAAGGTACCCGCATGCACAAAATGATTGAATGTTGCAGCCCCGCTTTGAAGACTTGCAAGTCCGGATTGCTTCTGCAGGCCCTGGGACGTGAAGCTCACGCGTGACGCTCTGGGTTTGTCAAGGGTTCACAGATGGTTTTAGGAGTTGGTGCCGGTGCCTTGCGAGGCCCGGAGGTCATGAAGCTGCAACCCGGACTCAGGTGGCCGCACGCTGAAGACTTCTCGTTTTCTTGTAGAAGGGCAATGGGAAGATCCATCATTTCACTCAAATCGGAATTGAAGGAAGCGATTCGACAGAAGGCTTGGTCAGAAAGACCAAATTACCGGGAGATGAGTTTGCCATTTGCATGTATTGTTTGAGTGAGCGAAGCTGGCATGGGTTGCGCTCGCCGAAACACACATCGCGCCATTATTCGCAGTATTGGTCACATAAACCCAACACCTCAAACCCTAAACTCTAAACCCCAAACGATATGTTGCCAAAGGTTTTCGACTCGGAGCTGAAAAGTCAAGTCTTTTGCTCAAGCCTTTTGTTGAAATTTAACGCCTGACAGCGACAATGGCGTTGGGCTTCATCTACCAGGCATGATTTAGGCTTCAGGGTTGAGGGGTCTCATGCAATTTATACGGACCCCTACCCCCTAATAACGGCATTATAAGAATACACGAGGACCTCAATACGAGGTGGCCATCGCAGGCGCCCTAGCCCGCCTATGCCGGGACGCAGATCAATGGCGGAGCAATACGCGCAGCAGTTGCCTCCACAGTCTCCAGTGCCACACTGTACTCTCTTGGCCTCGAGAAGAAGAGGCGACGGCAGAAGACCATAGAAACTAAAAGACGGATTGCAATCCTTTGCAAAGTACCATGGCACCATGGCACATCTTGTGTGGAAGATGCAGTCAAGCGGGGGGACCAGCAGATCCTGTCGTCGATCGGGACGCTCAACAAAAACATCCTCTCGGAGATGAGGGAGGCTTTTCACCATTACGTGTCCGAGATTCGGCTGAAGCAGGTCATGGACACGTACGCGCGGGCTGACCTCGACGCAGCTGCTTGACACTTTCAAATAAGCGTTTGCAAGCCGAATGCTGGTAAGACATCCCTGCATAGGTTCATCCATTCTAGGTAGGCTCTCACTGCTGCATTGTTCACGTCGGTGATCGGAACGTGGGCGTCGTTCCAAGCCTCCTGCATTCTTGACCGTGAAAATTGAAACCTGGTCATCCATCTGAGCCTGTCCCCGTTACCTCGACGCAACGTCATGAACTGCTGGAAGCGGTACAGGAAGACGTTGGCTGCGCCCTTGACGAACAGAGGACGCAAGTAGCTCTTGAAGTAACTGACGCCATTTTCCTTGTCCTTCAAGAGGTCACGGTTCAGGAGACGCTTGTGAATCGCTGCTTCACCTTCGAGCCGGTTACGCAACGCAGGTCCCTGTTTCTCAGGCTCTAACTCTGTGATGTCTACCCAGTCATCGATGGCATCTTCATAGGCGAACCAGCTGCTTCGGCCATCGTACGCAGGTGGTACCTTTGTCGTCGCCTGCTGGAAGGCATTGGAGGTGGCGGCCCTGTTGAACAGCTAGGCCTCGCCATCATCATATTCTTCATCTTCTGGGTAGCCATACGGCGTAAGACTTGCCATGGCTTTCTACTCGCGCCCTGGGATCGCACTCGGAGCTTTTCCTCCGGTCCTCTCTGTCAGAACAGAGTCCGCCGGGGAAATGCCCGGACACCTCTGTAAGGACAGAGCACTCCGGGAATCCGAATGCTCCGCTACCACGTTGAGATGTA